ATCAATCAATCAATCAATCAATCAATCAATCAATCAATCAATCAATCAATCAATCAATCAATCAATCAATCAATCAATCAATCAATCAATCAGTCAACTCTATTTGTACCTGCAGGTAAATTTGGTTACAGTGAAAATAAGTCAGCTTCTATCCAAGAAAAAGCACAAGACATCTGACATGGACACAGTGGACACAAGATTAAAAAGTGACCAGGTGCTCATAAAACCCAACTATATAAGAATCAAAGATAAAAACAAGATAAAATCAAATAAAACTATATAAGACAAAAAGGAATAAAATGACTAATGTAATGTATATTATGTTAACTTGAGTTTGAAAAGCTAATTGCAACAGGAACAAAGTTGATTTTGAAATGCTTAGTTTTACATTTTGGCACAAAGTATCTACGTCCTGATGGGAGGAGGCTGAACTCACCTCATTTTCTGAGTGTTAAAAAATGTTCACTAACATTTTATTGTTATTAAGCTCACTGTTCTTCCAATTTGCTACTTTTATTAAATGTCAAATCTAAATGTTAAATAATGTGTAAATATGACATCCTAAATATAAATGTGCAAATCTAAATGTAAAAGTTAAATCTTAAATATTGTAGTTGAAGTAAAGTATTTCAGTATGGAATACTTTGCCGTTTGTTCTCAGTAGGGGTGGACTGGGGAGAAAAAGTGGCCTGGGAGTTCCTGACAGACTGGCCCACTTTCAACTGCCGGGTTTAAGTTACTCATACCTGAGCATAATGTTGTTCAAAATAATAATATTTACAAAACATTTGTTTGAGACTTGCAATGTGTACCTGTGAAGCTAAGGTGCATATTTTTGGTCTGTGAGAGGAAACTGAAGTACCGGGAAAAAACAACATTCATGTAGAGGGAGAACATGTAAACACCACCCAGAGAGGTGCAGGCTGGGATTTGATCCAGCATCGGAGAAACAACAGCTCTACCAACTGAGCTGAGCTGGCAAATGTTTTCTACATGATGCTGATAAAGATTCTCAGTCATCCAGATCAGGATTATTCCAAAAAACTAAAAAAAAAACATTTCTATTATGAGTTCTATTGAACGTCATGAAGGTCTATAAAGCTTCGAACTCCCCACTACTCAAAACATTTTGAACTGACAGCTTCTCTGATCAGAAGAGAAACATCTACAGTTTCAAAATAGAAGTCCAGTTTTATATTAGTTACTATATTAGTTAAAATATTGATTTGTTTATAACTCTAACCTCATGAGAAGCTTCATCCTGATATTGAGGACATACTAGTTGATTTTATTCAGAGGAACTGTTTTAAGTTTATTTTTTATTTTAAGTAAAATATATATTTGTAACCCAGTTTTTCAAAAATCTTTTTTTATATTTATAAAGTTATCCTAATTCTAAATAGCTGGGAAAATTTTAAATAAGCACAAAGCAGAAGCTTGGGACTCAAGAGGATAAAACTGGTACACAGCCATCCCCACATGTGGCACACCTGGTGATGGACAGGTAATATTCTACAGTGGAATGACGAGCTGGAGCCACAGCACCACACATTTCTGTTAAATCTGAGAGACAAACAGGAACATATAATTTACGTGGCTCTAGCAGGGACAAGACTTATTAAATTTGTGTCTTCTGAGTTATTAGTAAGCACACAGAGCTGACTTGTCATATGCTGAACTTTATGGGACAAGTTTCCTGATTGAAGCCGCTCAGCGCTGTTAGGAGAACAGTAGTGGTCTGTAGCATTTAGAAGTCCACTCCGTGGCAGGCCGGCCCCACTCTGAGCAGATCAGCTGATTGGAGGCGTGTTAAGGAAGCATTATGGCACCGCAAAACAAGCATGTGGTGCATGGCCACGGAGCCGAGTGCAACAGTACCTCCACGGGGGAACCGCCAGCAGCCCATTGGCCCACAAACCCATTGGCCCACCAGAAAAACTCCCAGTAGACTTATATCCACCCATGTTCGGCTCTTATGATGTCATCATCCTGAGACAATAGAAACCCCCTAATGGTCCATTGTAGCTACAAGACATCAAACTTGCAGTTGCAGACGGTGTCCGAGCTGCACTTAAAACTGCCAAACTACAGGTACCATGCTGCTGAAGATGGTTTGTAAAATTTAAATTCAAAACTAAATTATATACAGATTGGTCTGGACAGAATCTGCAACAGGAGGAGGTGAGTTGTTATTATTGAGTCCACAGGTTAAAGGGTATGAATGTAGAATAATGTTTCTTTTTTTACAGGTCTCAAGAGATCCAGAAGCATAGAAAGGAGGGTGACAATCTAGGTGAGCAGTGGAGCATAGGCGAGTGTCACAGGTGATTTTTTACAGGTGAAGACTGGCTGGCGGGCAGGGAAGTGAGTTTGTATTCATACTGGAGCTGATTGGAGAAGGCTGACAATGCAGAAGACCAGAAGAACATCAAAGGCTTTTCTAGGGAAACAAAAGATTTGAGGATAGATTTACTCAGGCAAGAAAACTAAGAACTTAGTTGATAGTATATGTTCCAATGAGGATCTGCTGTCTCTGCAGTCTTTTAAAGCCCAGGAGCTCATCATCTGGATTGCCTGCAGCTGCTGCAAATTGCTGCACTCAGCAAGTGGGCCATGTTCCATGCCTAATGGTGGCTGCCTTGAGCAGTGGCTGCAAGGCTGTCGGTGCTTCTCGCGGTAGCCATCCTTGAACACGGTGGTGGAAACCCTGGGTTAGGGAGGCTGTCAAGCTGAAGAAGGAGTCCTTTTGATTGGCTATGAGGTGATTCTGGCAAACCATCATGTTGCTGAGGTGGAGAAAAATCACTTTATCAACCTCATAGGGAGGTGGAACTTGGAATACTTTTTGGACCTTCTCAATCCCACCGGCACATCTTCCATGGATGATCAGGGTTGGTCTGTCCATAACTGGAGCTGAGTAGCTAAAAAGCTCTGAGGCAGGGCTCCAGGGGTGAACAAGATCCATCCTGACTTCTTTAAGGCTCTGGATGTTGTGGGGCTGACACACCCTTGCAACATCGCGTGGACATCGAGGGCAGTGCCATTGGATTGGCAAACTGGAGTGGTGGTTCCCCTCTTCAAAAAGAGGGACCAGAGGGGAGGGGGTGTTTCAATTACCGGTAAATAGGCATCACTCTCCTTAGACTACCTGGTAAGGTCTATTCAGGGATACTGGAGAAAAGTGTCTGATTGATGGTTTCAGGAGGAGATTCAGGAGGAACAATGCAGCTTCAATCTTCACTGGGGTCCTAGAGGGATCATGGGAGTTTGCCCATCCAGTCTACATGTGCTTTGTGGACTTGGAGAAGGCATTTGATCATGTTCCTTGAGGTACACTGTGGATTTTCAGCTCTTACTGGAGCGGTTCACAGCTGAGAGTGAAGCAGATGGGATGTGAATCAGCACCTCCAAACCTGAGTCCATGGTCCTCAGTCAGAAAAGGGTGGATTGCTCTCTCCAGGTTGGGGATGAGGTTCTGCCTTAAGTGGAGGAGTTCATGCATCTTGGGGTTTTGTTCACAAGAGAGGGAAG